AAAAATAATTCCTCATCAGAATTCCTTATGCCTTGTCACTTTGCCTTTGTCATGGTTCATAGAAAATGAGAACCTTGGGGAAACAAAAACAAAAAACATGACCTGAAACAGTCTATATGAGCAGGAAGAAACAGATAAAACCAGTTAGCAAATACAGTCTCCTGGACCAAAGTACAGTTTATACATGTCTAAATGGTGACTGACCAGCTATAACAATAAGGATCACAGGGTTGGGTGGTATGTGCCTTTAATCCCAGCATTCAGGAGCCAGAGATAGGTGGATATCCAAGAGCCAGCCTGGTCTATATAGAATTCCAGGCCAGCCAGGCCTATATGATGAGACTCGGCCAAAAAAAAAAAAAAAAAAAAAAAAAAAAAAAAAAAAAAGTAAATAAGGGGCTGGAGAGATGGCTCAGTGGTTAAGCACACTGGCTATTCTTGCAGAGGACCTGAGTTCAGTTCCCAGCACCCACATGGCAGCTAACAACCATCTATAACTCCAGTTCCAGGGGATCTGAAGCCCACTTCTATCCTCTTAAGAGCATTGCCTGACATGGGTGCCCTTACATAACACTCATACACATTAAGAAAAAAAAAAAAACAAGTAAATAATAAATCAAAAAATAAATTGTGAACTCCCAGGGAAATGCTGAGAAAGGTTTGATTTGGGTTGGGGGCAGGGGATAGAGGAAAGGATGTTGGTTGGTTACTCTGTAAGCTAATTAAAACATTATTTTTGAAAAGGGAGTTTGAACTCTGCATGTATAGATCATGCTTCTCCCAGAAGACATGGGTTATTAAACAAAAGTCTCAGTGCCAAGTGTGGGAAACCTCCCTACAGGTTATTGGTCAGAGGCCCCAAGATAATGTAAGCTATTGCCATTGCTCCTAGCTGCTCACCGTAACTAAGATGGTAAAACTCTGTTGCTGAAAACACATTTTGGTTGCAGAACATGGAGAAATCAAGCAGGAACTGACTGGAAGCTTCCTCCCTGATGACTAGCTTCCATAATGTGGAAAGGTGCTATGCAGGCTGCTGGGAAAGAAAAGTCATCAGTGATATTACCCAGCAGTGAATGCTGAATGCTGCAATACCAACTGCCAGGTAAGACTGACCACTGGTGCCATAGTGGCACAAAGAGTATGGGGATAACTAACTGCTTTCTGATTGGATTAGAGGCCTGGTCCACTGGAGGGAATTCATGCCTGGTACTTTAAACCTGGGTGAAAGCCTGTGGTTAGGGAGGTGACAGACCCTAAGGGAGAATCTATTACTGTTGTTTTGCAGTACACTCAATACACATAAATACTACTTTTTAATATTTTATTTACTATTTTTATGTGTATGCATGTATTGCCTACATGTAGGTAAGTGCACCCCTATCGTGCAATGCCTGTGGAGGACAGAAGAGGCTGTGAGATCCCCTGAGACTGGAGTTACAGACAGTTGTTAGCTGCCATGTGGGTGCTGGGATTCAAACCCAGGTCTGCAAGAACAACCAGTGTTCTTAACCTCTGAGCCATCTTTCCAGCCCCCTAAAATATTATTTTTAAAAAAGAAAACAGAGGGGCTTGAGAGAACACTGGTTGTTCTTGCAGAAGACCCGGGTTTGAATCCCAGCACCCACATGGCAGCTAACAACTGTCTGTAACTGCAGTCCCAGGGGATCCGACAGCCTCTTCTGTCCTCTGCAGGCATTGCACGACACGGGTGTACTTACCTACATGCAGACAATACACGAATACACATAAAATAAAATATTAAAAAAAACAACCAAAAAAAAAAAGAAAACAGAAGTTCTCAACTACCATACAGTCTTCCCTCTGTATATGTAGTAACTTACAGATATGTGTAAACATATGTTGTGCTTATCTGTAAAAGGGACTTTGGCTATAGGTTTGGCCAATTATATATATTTTTTTAACCTACCAAATATCTAAGATATTTGATAGTTGTGTAAGACTTGGAGGCAGTTTATTATGCAGAACTGTTTGGGGTACTGCATGAAATTCAGCACCCTTGGCTTCTGTCTACCAGATACCACTGTACTTCCCAGTCATTGTGACCATCAAAAACACTTTTAGCTGGTGTGCTGCTGCATGCCTATAATCCCAGCACTCTGGAAGCTGAGGCAGAAGGATTGCTGAGTTGGTGACCAACCTCTGGGCTACACAGCAGTATGTGCTCTTACCCATCACATCTCCAGCTATTCTACCCTCCCTTTTTGAGCCAGGGTCTCACTGTGGAGACCTGGCTGGTCTAGAACTCTCTATGTAGACCAGGGTGGCCTTGAACTCACAGAGATCCATCTGCCTCTGTTTTCCAGTGCTAGGATTAAAGGTGTGTGTCACCATGCTCAGTGCTTTGCTTTTGTTTATTCAGACAGTCTATAACCAGTCTCATTTTCCTGCTTCAGCCTCTCAAGTGCTGGGATTATAGGGATGAGCCATTACAAACAGCTTTCAATTTTCATCTCCTGTCTCCCCCCAGAGTTGGGAACACAGTTGGGTACCACCATACTAATCATCTCTATGTATTCAAGAGCATCTAGAAAATTTTTTGGTTTTTTGTTTTTGTTTTGTTTTTTTGAAACAGGGTCTCCCTGTAGCCACAGCTGGCCTGGAACTATGTAGACTAGGCTGCCCCTGGATCTCAGAGATTCCCCTGTCTCTGCTTCCCAGTGTTGGGATAAAAGACATGAGCCACCAGGCCTGGCTTAGAAGTATTTTCATGATCTAAATAATCGCTAAGTAGAAAATCATTCTGGGAGGTGATTAGTACATTTAGTAGTTTTTCTAAGGTTTCAACTTGAGAAAAATCTGGATTGGGACAACAGTTTCTCCATAGGCTAAAAGACAAAACAAAAGAGAAAACGTGCTCAGATTCATTTAACCCACCTTTCAAATGCAAGTCTCCATGGTGAATAAAATTTGAGGCAGCCTATTAAAGATGTCTTAGCTTCCCGCCGAAGCCTTTTTTGGTTCTGCTACATACATGCTTTTATCTGGTGAGAAATATTGTGGTGACCAGTTAAAGATGTCTCTTTTTTTATTATAATATAAAGCTCTAAGATACAGGCACTCTGGCTAACCCTTCTGAGCATGCACACAAAGAAAAATCTGGATGTCCAGGGCCTTTGAAATAGAAAAACTTCTTTTGGGGGTTTGGGGGTAGAGAGGGTCTCATTATGTGGTTCTGGACTGGAATTCCATATATAGACCAAGCTGGCTTTGAACACATAGAGTTCCACCTGCCTCAGTGACTGCTGGAGTGAAAGGTGTGCATGATGCCAGACTTGAAAAGAAATTTCCATTGTAGTGTGTACTTGTAATCTCCAGCACGAAGGAGGGTGTCATGTTTGTCAGTAAAGCAACAGGATATCAAGTTTGAGGCCAGCTTTGCTACATGGAGAGACCCTGTCTCCAAACAACTCCCCTGACCCCCACAAAAACACCTACCAAAACCCTCAAACCAAACCACTCTCAATTTAATCAGGGTACTAGTGATAGTCACTAAAGAGGTAAAGACAGTAGATAGAGGAGGGTTGAAGCACTTTAATTACAGAAGAGTAAACGATAGTATAAAACCGTTAACAGCACACCCAGTGGCTGCTGTTCTCCATATCTCAGCTCATCTTCTCCTACTTCCGTCCCTGTGTACCCCTGGGTAAAAAGCAGGGTATCTGTAGTTGTCCCTGTCATTATCAGGCAATAGGAGGGAGATGTAGCTAGGGGCCACAATGATCTTGGCCATCCATCCAAAATTCTGTTTCTATACAACTTCATCAGGTGAAATATTCTTTCCTGCTCAAAAAGAATGGTCCCAAAGCCTGGAGCTGAACCTGGCTATTCCATCAGATGGACCAGGAGTTCAGAGCCTCAAGAGCCACAGGCTGCATGACTGGAGACAGTCTGGAGATGGCATTATTCAAGATTCAGCCAAACCTGGGATTGAGGTGGGTTTAAAAGTGACTAGGCAATGCCTAGTGGTCCAGAATTGTGCCCCAATCCAGGCAATGAAATGCATGCATATGCACAAATACACATGCACAAACACACACAAAAACACACACAGAGAGCAAATAACATTACTGAAAGGACCTGGGGGCATTAAATACGAAATGGCAGAGTTTTTAAAAAGTGGAAGTATTTGATTCTTTGATTCTCCTCAGTGCCTTGCAGTCACAGGAGTGTAGCTGTGGGGTGGCCCCAGGAGAAGTAGGTTGCCAATGGCCCTACAAGTCCCATGTGTGCTGAAGTTCCCATGCCAACCACCTTACTCTTCAGCCCAGTGGTTGCCTCCCATGTGGCCATTCACCCAGGTGGCACCATTGCTGGAGTTACTGCCAGAGAGGTTTTTTGTGCAGGGGGTTTCATCTTCCTCCGAGCTGCTCTCCACATCACTGCGATCATCCTTAGACACCTGGGTGGGAAAGGACCGAAGGCATTTAAGTTAACCCACTACTTCTCTTGATAGACTCAGAAGGCAGATTAAGCTCCCAGAGCCCTGATTTGCACACAATTTCCAATCTATACTACGTTTACACGGCAGCTGACACAAAAATATTTGGACCGTTGGCTACTATTGAGAATATGCTTCGCCTGCTTTCTGTTTTTTTTTCTTGTCATCTTTGATTCTGTTCTCTATGGCATAGAAGCTACTTTGACAGAGAGGTTTATTCTTCAGGACCAGCCTAAGAAAACTGAGAACGATCCACTGAGTCCAGGTTAGGTGTAAAGAAACTCCGATAGTCTTCCCCTCTTCACATCAGAGAACAGGCAAGGCTAACATGAACAATGTGCAAGGCTGTCATCACTGCTTCTGTCTTCTGGCTGATGTGAGCGCTGCATTCAGTCATGCTGGTTATCCTGAGTTTTGCCTTATTCCCCTAACTAATCCATAACGGGCCCTTTTTAGCAGTTCTATTACTGGGCTCAACTTTCTATGACATCATTTCCTAATATTCTCCACTTTTTAAAATAGCAGGAAATTTCAGCATACCCAAGACATACAATACCTAAAAATAAGAATGGATTGGCAGTCAGTATGAAAAGAATCCCATTCTCAATCGTGCTGTCATCTGTGAGTTTTTACCTCTTACCTGTGCTTTTTCCTTTGTATTTTTAAATGAAAGGTTTGGATTAGAGCTAACTATCCTGTATATCAAACAAAGTGTTTCAAATTCTCTGTATTGGACCATGAAAGTAAAGGATAAAAACCAGTGAGATCTGTGTTAGATGTCGGACCTCTGCAACTAAAAGATGGCAGATCTATGCAGTTTTTTTTTTTTGTTTTTTTTTTTTTTTCCGGAGCTGAGGACGGAACCCAGGGCCTTGTGCTTGCTAGGCAAGTGCTCTACCACTGAGCTAAATCCCCAACCCTCTATGCAGTTTTTAAAAAGAGTATTGGTGGGGGCTGGAGAGATGGCTCAGCAGTTAAGCACACTGACTGCTCTTGCAGAGGACCCGGGTTCGATTCCCAGCACCCACGTGGCAGCTATGAACCATCCTTAACTCCAGTTCCAGGGGAATCCAATGCCCTCTTCTGATCTCTGCGGCATTGTGTGACATGGTGCACTCACATACATGCAGGCCATACATTCATACACTAAAATAAAAAATTTTTTTAAGCATTGGTGGCGGCAAGGAACAAAGCTACAATTGTCGCAAAGGGTGTAGGCATTTGCTTTCAATCAGTTCTGGGATTCCAGTTCACTGTAGCTGTTGACCTCTGAATTCAGATGACTGATTGCCTAATCTTTGGGAAATTTTCACCAGAGGGCAGAATGTCTCTAAAAAGATTTTTTAAAAAGAAAAAGAACAGACTCAGTCCTTGCCTTAAAGAGTCTGGTAACTTCAGCTCCAGTCAACAGCACTCCCACAGATTAGAGAGGGTGTGTTCCAAGACAAATGAGAACAGAAAAGACAGTAGGAAGGAAGAGAATCACATTCAGACAGACATGCTTCTCTGAACACTAGAAGCATAGGTACACTTACATGCAAAAGATGAAACTGTCCAGCTCCCACCAGGCATAGAGAAAAGGAGGAAGGTGAGGAAAGAGTGGAGGGTACAGAGTCTGGGTCTAATACTTCCTCCGTAGGCCACCTAGTCAGGAAAAGAAGAGTAGGAAGAGCAGAGATATCTAGTAGCCACAAGATGCATAGGCACACAAAGCAAGCTTTGAAACTAATCATAGCTATGGACAATAACAAAGCCAGGCATGGTGGTGCACGCCTTTCATCCCAGCACTTGGCAGGCAGAGGCAGGTGGATCTCTAAGTACAAGGCCAGCCTGGTCTACATAGTGAGTTCCAGGTGAGCCCCAATACAGGGAGACCCTGTCTCAAAAAGCCAAAAAAAAAAAAAAAAATCAAGAAATCATAGATACCTGGGTTACCTGCTTTGTGCAGAATGAAGATGTCCTCTAATGGAGCCCTCCCACCTGAATGCTGCACAACTGACAGCACTTTGGCCAGTCACAATGTGACTACTTTAGAACTTGCAAATTTCAATGGTAAGGCAGATCTGTGTGAGTTCCAGGCCAGCTGGGATTACAGGGAGACCCTGCCTCAAAAAGAAAAAAAGAAAAAAAAGGAAGGAAGGAGGGAGAGAGGGAAGGGAGGGAGGGAGGGAGGGAGGGAGGAAGGAAGGAAGGAAGGAAGGAAGGAAGGAAGGAAGGAAGGAAAGAAAAGCAAGCAAGCTTCATCCCTACCTTTCCCCGGATCAAAGCTTTAAAAGCAATCCGTGCTATCAGGTAAGACCAGATGACATGCAGAACCTGTAGGATCAGGAGAAGGCCATTGAAGAGCCACCAGGAGGGATAAGGCCCAATCATTTCCCAGCTCTCAAAGAGGGTTGTGTTCAGAATCCTAGGAGACAAATGTCAGATTCTAGAGTCACAGCTAGGCAGACAGGGACGAAGCCAACTCCTCTGGGGATGTGGAACCTTCTGTCTCTCCCCCATACTTTTTTACATCAGTTGCAATACCAGGCTATTCTTTCATAGGAAAAAAAAATAAAGGGAGGTACCTATGGTAGTTTTGCCCTCTTAGGACAAGAAGAAGAGATGAAATCTTAGGAACTGATGGGTCTTATGTTACTACATATCTTACATCATTAATTGCTTCAAATATTCAGCTTCACAAAATAGGAACAGTAGGCCTATAATCCTAGGAATGTCTTTAGACATGCAGGACAGACAGTAAATGGTAGTCCCATAGACCAAGCAAAACCTCCAACCAGAATCATTAACTTTGTACTAATGGTAGTGAGTATAGAAGGGAAATGTGTTCATGTGATGGTCAGGACAGGGAGGGCACAGAACAGAACAAAGCAAGAAGTTGGAGACCTTTGTACTCAGTGCAACAGATAGCAAAGGAGCACAGTGAGGACGTCTGGCAGCCATAAGCAAGCAAAGCCAGAACCAAATGACTTCCAGCTCTAAATCTAGGTAACGCCTCACTAGAAATGGCCCTCTGAGAGTCCACAAAAGGGTTAGCTCAGGTCAAGAAAAAAGCAGGGCAATAAGGTTCTTACGTGTTATACTGGCAAAAACAGAAAAACTGAATTGACAAAAAGGTATTATTAGGTACATACCTACCACAGTTCCATAGCCCTAAGCACTTACCAGAATGGATAGATTCCTAGACGAGTGACCATAAAAACTACACTGAAGATCACAAAAAGGGAGTCACATAGCCGCTGATATTTGGCATAATTGGCCAGCTTGGCAGCCTGGATAAAGAAGATAAAAATTGAGTTGGGGACAGAGTCAGTTCTCACATGGAGGGAACAGGAGAGATGAGGAGAGAGCTAGGTTCTTACTTCCAGGAAGAAGTCTGAAGAATCATGGAGACACATGACCAGAGTTCCCACTCTAACCATGTTGTTGATGTAGGAGAAGGTGATAAGCCCAATGGTGGCCAAGTGATGCACAAACATGATCAGGAAGTCCTAGGAAGAAAGGGAAATAGAGTGGGGGTGAAGGTGAGGCTGCAGAAATGCCGGCTACCCCAAAGCTCTGCTTTACTCTCTGAGGCTCTTAGTCCTTATGCTCCATTCTACTAGCATTTCAACTCAACACTCCCTGCATTAGTGACCAACAGCAGTCTAGGTTACTACAGCCAAGAACATGGACATCAAGCTGACACTCAGGAGCAACCTCCCAGATGGTAGTGGGACACAGAAGCATTAAATGTTCCTAAGATTTTAACAAAAGATTTCAATCAAAGGGACCTAATTTAAAAAAAAAAAGGTTTGTGGAGGGGTAAAGATAAACTTCCAGAAGGTTTCAGAGAAATGCTTATTAGCTAAACAAGCCCCCTTATTGCAAATACTTCCAGCTTTCAGACTGAAGCCTCTACTTTTATCTGGGGTTCACATGCCAGGGTTAAAATTAAGGAAATCTTTTTTTTTTTTTTTTTTAATTTTTTTTTTTTTTTTTTTTGGTCTTTTTGAGACAGGGTCTCCCTGTAGCCCCAGCTGTCCTGGATTCACTGTGGAGACCAGGCTGGCCTTGAACTCACAGAGATCTGCCTACCTCTGCCTCCCAAGTGCTGGGATTAAAGGTGTGCGCCACCACACCTGGCTATTTTTATTTTTTATGTGTATGAGTATATTGTCTGCATGTATGTGAGCGCACCCGTGTCGTGCAAAGCCGCAGAGGTCAGAAGAGGGCTTCAGATTCCCCTGGAACTGGAGTTAAGGACGGTTCATAGCCGCCATGTGGGTGCTGGGAATTGAACCTGGGTCCTCTGCAAAAGCAGTCAGTGCTCTTAACTGCTGAGCCATCTCTCTAGCCCCAAAATTGAGGAAATCTTTATATAACTTAGTTATTAGATGTTTAAATGTGAAATGTCCCCCATAGGCTCATATTTTGGATGCATTTTACTCAGATGGTGACACTATAATGGCAGGCTATGGAACTTTTAGAAATGGTAGGGCCCTATTGGCAGAAGCCCCTACTGAGGGGCGCCTTGAAGGTTATGCCGCACCCTCAGCTCTGGGGCACTGTCTCTGTTACCTGGTCCCAGTGCTGTCTATGGCTTCCACCAATGCTCCGACTGCCATGAACTGAGCTACTCCTTGCCATGATGGGGTGAAACCCTCTGAAACTGTGTGCCAAAATAAATCTTCCATCCTTTAAACTGTTTCTGTTAGGTATTATGGTCACAGAGAAACAAGAGTAACTGGTACTCAGCCCAGGGAGGGCTAGATGGGTGGGAGAAGGCAGGCGGATTTTAAAATTCTGTCCTTTCTGTTCTGGTTTTATAAAACGTAAATCATTTCTGACTATCACTCTGTGGGAAAGCCAATTCACTTCTGAAACTTTGTTTCCTAAAATCAAGCCTTTTTCTGAGTTAGGCCTTGATACCCTCAAGGTCTAATTTCCTGAGCTATAGACCATGAGAGAGAAGTAAGGAAAAGAACATGCTTCCTAGCTGGCTAACTGTTCTTGCCCTGGGCTGCCCTGACTATTATAAATATACTTCATCACCAGTTATGTCTCATTTCTAGGAACATCACAAAGAGCAATACTAGTCCTTTGGCACCCACTTCTCTTCAATTTCATGATCCCAGTCAGGAAAGAGACTGTGTCATAATGGCAGTAGTGGGGGCTGCAAGAAAGGGGTTGAGGGGCTGGTGTCCTTACCTTTCTTTTAATGTCTATAAATTGAGAAAACATAAGAGACCAATAGAAGGCCAATTCCATGATATAATAGTGATAAAGCTCTCTTGAGAGAGGCTAGAAAAAAGAAAACAGAAGTTAGAACACTAGCAAGTCAAAGGGGCATTCCATCTCTGCAACTCTGTCTTGAAATACCAATACCCCAAATTATTTGGCTCTTTCTTCTCCATTATTTCCCAAGATCTGTAATAGCTAAAAGACTTTGGATTGGTGTGGAGACTTAAACCGCTTCCCTTTGTCCCTTTTACACATGCATCTTTAGCTCCTATCTTTTAGAGATGAGGTATGGTTAACATATACTATACCACATCAAACTGGTATATCTGGATTTCTGGACTAACTATACTTAGGCCTTCCCTTCTTCCACACCTTTGGCATTTCCCTGATACTTTTTTTAGTAGACTAGAACCCAGATGCCCTTAAGAGGATTCTAAGTAGCTCTTGACTTAAAAAACAAACAAACAAAAAATCACTAGTAATAATCGGATATATAGAGATTAGAAATGCATGTGCAAACATCTTAATGTCAATTGCATTGAAAATGAATTTTTTCTATATGAAACTGTATTTTAATAATGAAATGGAGATCTTTTTTAAAGGTTAAAACTTCATTTAACTTTATGTCTTATAGGGTTTATATTGAGTACAATACTGTATAACTGTACTAATTCAACTGTAAACCTAAAAATTTACAGCCGATTCTGAAAAAGATGCATCTTAGCTCAGAAAATTGTTATTGAATATGTCAATGCTGTTGTAATGAAATGCTTCTTATAAGTATGTGGTTATTAAATAAATAATTAACAACAACAACAACAAAAACTGAAAACCCAGGATATCTGAACCAGAAAGCACCTTTTAAATTCTAGCAAGCTATTTTTCTTTCCACTACAACTGGGATGCACATAAGGGGAACCTGGAACAAAAGCTCACTAGGTAATTCTGTTAAGGGGGGCCACAGATAGAGAAATGTGATTATATGAATCCAAAGGATTAACTCAAAAGATCAAGGACTATGCTACCTGTCCTGGGATGACAATGCATTCTTACCCACCTTACCTTACATACAGACAAGGTCTGTCTTGAAACAGCTCAGATCCTACCTGATATGGATAACTATGCCAGCACTGTCGGGTGTCCCAGAACCAAGGTGACTAAGGAAAAAACAGAAAGTCCAGGTTAGCCTTTAGTCACCTTGGTTGTGCCTCTATCACTCTTTTCTCAAAGCTAGTGGCAAAAGAAAGAAGGAAGCTAGGTATACACTAGTAACTGTAATCCCAACATGTGGGAGGCTTAGGCAGGCAGGAATATCAAGTTTGAGGCTATTGTGGATCACAAAGCAAGTTCAGGCCAGTCAGGGCTACATAGCAAGAGTCTGTCTCAAAAAAACCAAACCAAGCCAAATACACACCAATAAACACAAACAACCAACCAAAGAAGCAGCAGCCGAGGAATGAATCCTTTCTGGATGGTGGGTTTTTTGTTTTGTTTTGTTTTGTTTTTGTTTTTTGTTGTTGTTGCCAGGGTCTCACTATGTAGCCCTGGCTGGTCTCAAGCCCACCCAGATCCACATGCCTCTGTTTCCCTGAGTGCTAGGATTAAAGGTATGTGCCACCACAATCAACCTCTCTCTCTCTGTTTTTGAGACTGGGTCTTGCTATTTAGCTCAGGCAGGCCTCAAACTCATGGCAATCCTCCTGCCTTGGCCTCCCAAGTGCTGGGATTATCATGATACCCATTAAGAATCATCTTTTGCCAGGTGTGGCAGTGCACGTATGCCTTTGGTCCCAGCACTTGGGAGGCAAAGGCAGGTGGATCTCTGTGAGTTAAGGCCAGCCTGGTCTACATAGGGAGTCCCAGGAGAGTGATCTGGGCCTATATGGAGACCCTATCTCAAAAAGATAAAAAAAAAAACAAAACAAAGAAAAGAATCATTTTTCTTGGGGCTAGAGAGATGGGGTTTAGCAGTTAAGAGCACTGGCTGCTCTTGCAGAAGACCTGGATTCAATTCCCAGCACCCACCATGGTGACTAACTATAACTCCAGTTCTAGAGGAATCCAACACCTTCTGACCTCCTCAGGCATTGCATGACACAAGTACATTTATACAAATGTAGGCAATAAACTCATACACTAAAATATAATAAAATAGAGCCAGGCGTGGTGGTGCACGCCTTTAATCCCAGGACTTGGGAGGTAGAGGCAGGCAGATCTCTGAGAGTTCAAGGCCAGCCTGGTCTACATAGTGAGTTCCAGGACAGCTGGGGCTACAGGGAGAACCTGTCTCAAAAAGACAAAAAAATAAATAAATAAAATAATAAAATATTTTTTTTAAAAAAAAAGAATTATCTTTCTAGCCAGGCTTGGTGGTGCATGTCTTTAATCCCAGCACTTGGGAGGCAGAGGCAGGTGGATCTCTATGTAGACCAACCTGGTCTACATAGCAAGTTCCAGGCCAGCTGAGGATACTGGGAGACCCTGTTTCCAAAAACAGGATTTTATTTTTATTTTATGTGTATGAATGTTTGCCTGCATGTGTATATTTGCACTATGTGCATGCCCGGTGTCCACAGAAGCCAGAGAGTGCTTCGGATTCCCTAGAACTTAAGTTATAAATGGTTGTGAGCTGTGATGTGGGTGCTGGGAACAGAGAACCCTGGTCCTCTGCAAAAGCAGCCAATGCTCTTAGCTGATGAGCCATCTCTCTAGCCCAAGAATCACCTTTCTTGATAGATATTTTAGGATCAATAAGTGGCTAGATTTTTCTTGTATAAAAACTGTTACAAATAGAAAAACTTAGGGCTGGAGAGATGGCTTAGAGGTTAAGAGCACTGACTGCTCTTGCAGAGGACCCAGGTTCAATCCCCAGCACTCACATGGTGGTTAGCAGCCATCTGTAACTCCAGTCCCAGGGGAGTTGACACCTTCTTCTGACCTCCACAGGCATTACACAGGTGCATTTACACACATGCAGGCAATACATTCATACACATAAAATAATAAAATAATTTAAAAAATAATAAAGCTGGGTGTGGTGACGAACGCCTTTAATCCCAGCACTTGGGAGGCAGAGGTGGGTGGATCTCTGAGTTTGTGGCCAGCCTGGTCTACATAACAAGTTCCAGGCCAGCTGGGGCTACAGGTAGACCCTGGCTCAAAAAGACATAAATAAATAAATAAATAATAAATAAATAAACAAACAAACAAACAAACAGAAAAACTTGCTGGGTGTGGTGACACATACTTTTAATACCAGCACTTGGAAGACAGAGGCAGGCAGATGGATCTCTGTTAGGCCGTGGCCAATCTAGTTTATATAGTGAGTTTCAGGCCAGCCAGGGCTACATAGTGAACCTGTTTCAAAAAAAAAAAGTAAAAGAAAAAGATTATACTTGCAATAAATAAGAGCAGGAAGAATTCTAAAATAGCTTCATGTGCTTATGGAAATCCTCCTGTTTCTGCCTCCTGAGCACTGGGATTATAAGTATGTACCATCATGCCAAGCTCAAAAGAACTTAATTTTTGCAGGCCAGTGAGATGGCTTAGTGGGTAGGCATTTGCCACACAAGCCTGGCAACCTGAGTTCAATCCTCAGAACCCACATAAAAGTGGAAGCAGAGAATTGACTCTATAAAGACGTCCTCTGACCTCAACACGTGCCCAGCGGTACATATTCCACACATACCATCATGTACACATACACACACTAATACATTTTTTAAAAAGAAATCATTTTTGCTAGGTGTAAGGTATGAGCCTATAATCCTACTACTAGTAAGGTCAAGATAGGATTTTGAGTTGGAGGTTAATCTGGGCTGAACATTGAGTTCTGGGCAAGCCTGGACTACATAATGAGCCCTTGTGTCAATAAACCAAAGATTAGCTGGATATGATGGTACATGCTAAGGCAAGAGGACTGCTGAGTTCCAGGCTAGTATGTGCCACAAGTGCTGGGGGTCCCACTGTAGGTCCTCATGTTTGCATGGGAAGTTGTATTACCAACTTAGCTATCTTCTCAGACCCAGAATTTTGTTTTGAGATTGATTTTTATTTATTATTATTATTTTTTTTTATTTTTTTTTTGTCTTTTTGAGACAGGGTCTCCCCTGTAGCCTCAGCTGACCTGGAACTCACTATGTAGACCAGGCTGGCCTTGAACTCACAGAGATCCGCCTGCCTCTGCCTCCTGAGTGCTGGGATTAAAGGTGTGTGCCACCACATCTGGTGATTTTTATTATTTTTAATTATGTGTATATATACATATGTCTGCGATTGTTGAGTGCAGGTGCATGTGGAGGCTAGAAGTGTCAAATCCCCTGGAGCAGGAGTTACAGGTGGTTGTGAGCTGCCTGACACAGGTGCTGGGAACCAAACTCAAGTCCTCCGCCATAACAGTATGCTAGAACATACTTTTTTTCCCCACAGCCATCTAAAATTCCAGTTACAGAGGACCTGATGCCCTCTTTTGGCTTCCAAGGGTATTGCATACATATGGTGCACTTACATGCAGGCAAAATACATATAAAATAAAAATAAATTTAAAAAAATTAAAGATAAATGAAATTCATCAGAAGGGGACAGGGCTGGGAAAATGGCTCAGCAGGTAGGAGTACCTGCTGCACAAGCACATTAAGCTCCAATCCCCCAAACCCACACAAAAATCCATGTAACCAGAGGCAGGAGGATTAGAGACCTGTTGCTTGCCAGAGTCACTCTAGTCTCAGTGAGACCTCATCTCAAGGCAGTGAGGGAAGAGAAATAGAGCAGGACACCCAACTTCCCTCTCTGGCTTCTGTACACCATGGACATGTGTACCTACACATACATGCATGCATACACCACACACACACACACACACACACACACACACACACACACATGAATTTTTTTAAAAACTTGAAATTCTTCAACTCTTAACTGAAAAGTAAGAATAGTCTGTTTTATTCACTTTAAAAGATTATCAAAAAGGTGTGGTGGTGCACACCTTTAGTTCCACACTTGGGAGGCAGAGGCTGGTGGATCTCTGCGAGCTCAACGCCAGCCTGGTCTACATAGTGAGTTCCAGGCCAGCTGGAGCTACAGGGAGACCCTGTCTCCAAAAGATTAAAAAAAAAAAAAAAAAAAAAAAGATTATCAATTTCATTTCCTCCTGGAAGAACAAGAATTTCTTTCTTTTTTTTTTTTTGAGACAAAGTTTCACTGTTTAGACCAGACTGGCTTTGAACTCAGAGATCCACCTGCCTCTGCTGGGATTTAAAGCATGTGCCATCATGCCTGCATAAGCAAGAATTTTAATTATTTTTTTAAAAGATGAAACTCCTTAACTTTATTTTTTTAATATTTTATTAATTTTATGTGTATGAGTGTATTGCTTACATGTATGTGAGTGCACCTGTGTCATGCAATGCCGTAGAGGTCAGAATAGGGATTCGGATTGCCCTGGAACTGGAGTTAAGGATGGTTCGTAGCTACCACGTGGGTGCTGAGAATCGAACTCCGGTCCTCTGCAAGAGCACTCAGTGCTCTTAACCACTGAGTCATCTCTCCAGCCCCATTATTTTATGGGTATATTGCCTACATTTAGGTACACCAGTGTCGTGAAATGTTCATGGAGATCAGAAGAGAGAGCTGATCTCCTGGAACTGGACTTACGGGTGGTTGTTAGCTGCCATGTGAGTGCTGGGAATTGAACCTGGGTCCTCTGCAAGAGCAGCCAGTGCTCTTAACCACTGAGCCATCTCTCTAGTCTCAAGCAAGAATTTTTAAGGTGCTCTGTAAATCATTAAATACAGCTGGGCATGGCAGTGCACGCCTTTAATCCCATCACTCAGGAGGCAGAGGCAGGCAGATCTCTGTGAGTTTGAGGTCAGCCTGGTCTCCACAGTGAATCCAGGCCAGCTGAGGCTATAGGGAGACCCTGTCTCAAAAAGACCAAAAAAAAAAAAAAAAAAAAAAAAAAAAAAGAAAAAAGAAAAAAAAAGAAAAAAAAATCATTAAATACTATTCTTATTTAATTACCTGTATTGTTAACATTGTTTAGGGAAGAAAATAGTAGGGTCAGGTTAGCAAAGTCAAACCCCAGGCAGAATCTAATTTATCAGCATATAAACTGTGGCTATGGGCATCACAGTAAGAAATTTTTTACAAAAATACAGGGTCTTCCTGTAGCTTCAGCTGGCTTGGAACTGGTAATATAGACAAGGCTGGCCTTGATCTCCACCTGCCTCTTCTAGGACTGAAGGCCTGGCCATAGTACAAAAAACTTAAGGAAAATAAATTATCTAGCTGGGAGTGGTGGCAGCATACACCCTCCCAGCAGTCCAGAGGCTAAGGCAGAAGGGTTGTGGCCAACCGTATTTCAAAGAGAAACATAAACATCTAAAGGTATTTAATGCATATCTCTAGAAATCTAGGCATGATTAGAACCCAATAAGGACCAGAGAAAGTTTAGACTCACCAACCAGAGAAATCTAATTCCGTAGCAGAATATACATAAATAAAAAGTGAATCTCCACCTGGATAAGCAAAGAGTAGAGGTTAGATATTGGGACAAACAGTGACCTCCAGAAAGCCACAGAGTCAGTTTTGGGCCTGTTTAAAATGAACTTCCACAAGCAAACACAGTTTTAATCAACTTTTCTTTCCTCTTAGACTCTTTGATGATAGCACCTATTTATTTATTTCTATTTTATGTGTATGAATGTTATGCCTGCATGTGTGTAAGCACACCTGTGTCGTCGTGTAGTGCCCATGGAGGACAGAAGAGGGCATCGGATCTCCTGGAACTGAAGTTACAGACAGTTGTTGGTTGCCATGTGGGTACTGGGATTTGAACCTGGGTATTCTATAAGACTAGACAGTGCTCTTAACTGCTGAGCCATTTCTCCAGTCCCAATAGCATCTAATTTTTAAAAACTGCATGACTCCACAGTGAGTTCCAGGCAGCTGGAGCTACAGGGAGACCCTGTCTCAAAAAGACCTAAAAAAAAAAAAAAAAAAATTTCATGACAGTGACTAATCTGTGCTCTGTTTCTAGAGGATAATAAAAATTCAGTGTGTTAAAATATACTATTTCCCAGAAAAGGGTTACTTCCCACAAAAAAATACAGAACAAACTGATGCTATTTCTAACAAGGTGGGCAGGTCTGTACATATTAACCTACGTAACTGCAGTTACTGGAATTCACTCACAATCTATCTGAAAAGAAGAAACAAAATGGACCCATACCTGGCTTAGTGGCAAGCATGTCTGAGAGAATAAATGTGGGCCCCTTTCCAGCTCTCTTCTGTCCTACCTCGATGAGGACTTTGCCATGTATTCACGTGAACAGACCTGCTTACGAAGCACTAGAACATAAGCTCTCTTTCCATATTTTTCCTTGGTTTTTTAAAATCTCATTTGAGCTTTAGAGTCAGACATATCTAGACCAGATCACTGTTCTACCTAACAATAGAAATAATTTCCCCAAAGAAAACAGTCCAGTTGTATCCCACCCTCCTCGTTCTCTACCTTCCTCTGTACACATACATGCTTTCACAGAATTTAGTGAGTGTTGGGGGCTTGTCCTGATTCCTCCGATGACGAAACCAGCATTGGATTTTTCGGACATCCCAGTCTAGCTGTTTTGACAGGCCCTTCAGCCTTTTCTCATCAGGATACTGTAGATGTATGACCAGAGTTAGAACACCCTTTTTCCACAAACTCCTCACTGAAATCCCTTTACTAGATGAGTAGCAAATGGATGACAACCCCAGGGGCTCAAGTGATGCTTTTATTTTCCAGGTTTTATCCCAAAATCATTTATTATTTGCTTTTAAGTTACGTGAATGTTTTGCTGCATGTAGCAAGCGCAACGCACCTTTTCAATGCCTGCAGAGGCGAGAAAGGGCCTCAGATCCCCTGGAATTGGTGTTATAGACAGTTGTTAGCTGCCAAGTAGTTGCTGTGAACGGAACCCAGGTCCTCTGCAAGAGCAACCAGTGCTTTTAACCTATGAGCCATCTCCAACACTCCCAAAATAATTTTTTAATCAAACTACTTTATTCAGCCATATGTGATGGTGCATGCCTTTAATCTCAGCAGTAGGGAGGCAGAGGCAGGCAGAACTCTATAAGATCAAGACCAGCGTGGTCTACATAGGGAGTTATAGGCCAGCTGGGGCTACAGGGAGACCCTGTCTCAAAAACCAAAACAAAACAAAAAAATGACTTTAGTTTAAGGAAGTCACTCAAACACCAGTCCTAAACCATGCATCTAGGGAACTTGTAGACCATTAGGATGGCCTCTCTGAAGTCAAGGAGCTTCCCTTTCACTATCAATTACATCATAATTCACTTATCCAACACACAAAATAAGCAAAAAAAAAAAAAAAAAAACAAAAAAAAAAAAAAAAAAAAAAAAAAAAAAACAAACCATGATGGAGGTTTTGGTTGTTGCTGGTTTTCCCCGCCCTAGTTTCAACTCCAAAATTATTTAAGTTTTAAAAAAAAAGAAAGAAAGAAAGAAAAAAGGTATTAAAGCCAGGTGTGGTAGTTTAATCCCAGCATACAGGAGGTGGAGGAAGAGGCAGGTGAATTTCTGTGAATTTGAGGCCAGCGTGGTCTACATAACAAGGCCAGCCAGAGATATAACATGAGATCTGTCTCAAAACAACAAAAGGTATTAGAAATACAAATGGGAATGCTGGGCCTGGTGGCGCACGCTTTTAATCCCAGCACTCAGGAGGCAGAGGCAGGTGGAACTCTGTGAGTTCAAGGCCAGCCTGGTCTACATAGTGAGTTCTAGGTCTGCTGGGGCTACAGGGAGACTGTCTCAAAAAAAGACTCCCTCTTCCAAAAAGTGTGTAAAGTATAGGGATCCTGGTCAAAAGATATTTCCCTGAGGGGCTAAGGTTCTCCTTAGAGGAATAGAACAGACCATTCAAACGTGAAAACTCATCTCATCTTAAACAAACCCTTTTTCTAAAAAAAAAGCTTGCTTTATATATATTTTATTTATTATTATCATCATTATTATTATTTTGTCTCTTTGAGACAGGGTCTCCCTGTAGCCCCAGCTGGTCTGGAATGCACTATGTAGACCAGGCTGGCCTCGAAGTCACAAAGATCTGCCTGCCTCTGCCTCCCAAGTGCTGGGATCAAAAGCATGCACTACCACACCCAGCTCTTATTTATTATTTTTGTTTTATATGTATGAGTGTATTGCCTGCACGTAGATAGGTGCACCTATGTCATGCAGTGCTTGCAGAGGTCAGACGGTGTTGGATTCCCTGGGTTGGATCCTCTGGAACTACACTTATGGATGGTTGTTAGCCACTATGTGGGTGTTGGGAATCTAACTCAGGTCCTCTGCAAGGGCAGCCAGTCCTCTTAACCACTGAGCCATCTCTCCAGCCCCAATCTTACCCTTTTTTAAATGCTCTATTTCCCCACCCCATAGAGCAACCTTCATGTTACTTTCTGTCCCTGGTTCTTTGCTTACTTACCTTAGTGACAGATAAGAACACCTTTTCAAGGATAGCATTGGGCTTCACATGACAGGGACCACTGTCGTCTATGCCAACATTGAGTGCACAGGGTTTGGCAATAAATCTGTAACAGAAAATCCATTTCTAAGTATGATTTGCTAAGCATGAAGGAAGGTATCCTGATTAGTGTATTAAAAGGAGGGAAAAGGGGAAACACAACAGTAGGAACCAGAACTTTGCTTTTGATTCTAGATTCTGCCAGTGACTCATTTGTAGAGACCTATTTAAAAATGTTGGTTAGGACTGGAGAGATGACTCAGCAGTTAAGAACACTGGTTATTCTTACAGAAGACCTGGGTTCGAATCCCAGTACCTACATAGCAGCTAACAACTGTCTAGTAACTCCAGTTCTAGGTGATCCAACAGTTTCTTCTGTCCTCGGTGGGCATTGTATGACATGGGTGCATTTATATACATGCGGGCAATACACGCATACACATAAAAATAATAAAAAATTTAAAATAATAAAAATGAAAATGTTGGATTACCAGCTTTCTTCCCATTTCCTCCTGGTTTCTCTTATGATATCTTGAACTTCAGATCAGGCTATTTAAATTACTATTACTGCATATATGAACTTTTTAAATGAAGTTGTTTATCTCTGCAAATCTTAATTTTTCTTTTTTCATTTATAAGAGACAGATATCAGGGCTGGCAAATGGCTCAACAGGTAAGAGTGCTTCCCATGCACACCTAACAACCTGAGTTTGATTCTCTCAACCCCTGATGGATGCTGGGGCTAGAGATGGCTTAGTGGTTAAGAGCACGACTACTTTTGCAGAGGACCCAAGTTTGGTTCCCAGAATCGAGATCTGGTAGCTCAAAACCACCTGTAATTCTAGTTCCAGGAGATCTGACATGTGTACATACACTATAGGCAAACACACATACATACATATAAATAAATAAAAATAAATCCTAGGTCTGGTATGGTGGCTCATGCCTTTAATCACAGTACTTGGATTGGAAGGCAGAGGCAGGCAGTATCTGTGGGTTTGAGGCCTACTTTTGTTGAGACTACAGGGAAACCCTGTCTCAAACGAAAAACAAAGACAAAAACAAAAAACAAAAGCCCAGGGGTTGGAAAGATGGCTCAGCAGTTAAGAACACCTGCTGTTCTTCCAGAGGACACAGATTCAATTCCCAGTGCCTACAGTTCCAGGGGATTCAACACCATCTTCTGGCCTCTGTGGACATTGCACATTTGTGATGCACTTACATATATGTAAGCAAAATACTCATACACATTAAATAATAAAATAAAAAAAAGATTTTTTTTTTTTGGTCTTTTTGAGACAGCTGACCTGACAGTAGCCCCAGCTGACCTGGAACTCCCTATGCAGATCAGGCTGGCCTTTTTTGGTCTTTTTGAGACAGGGTCTCCCTACTGTAGCCCCAGCTGACCTGGAACTCCCTACGCAGACCAGGCTGGCCTTGAACTCACAGAGATCCAGCTACCTCTGCCTCCCAAGTGCTGGGATTAAAGGCATGTGCCACCATGCCCTGCTTTAAAATAAGTATTTAAAAAAAAAACTTGGATGTAGTCAGGTGTGGTGGCTCAGGCCTTTAATCCCAGCACTCAGGAGGCAGAGGTAGGTGAATCTCTGTGAGTTCCAGGCCAGCTGGGGCTATAGGGAGACTTTGTCTCAATAAATAAATAAATAAATAAATAAATAAATAACCTGGATGTAGTGGCATGCACCCATAATCCCAGCATTCTTACTGAGAGATGGGAAGTAGAGACAGAATTAGGTGGAAGCTTGGAGACCAGCTAGCTTTTATTATGTAGTACACAGGATAGAAATAATAAGCGAGACGGGACTGGAGAGTTGGCTCAGCAGTTAAGAGCAATGACTGCTCTTGTAGAAGACTCAGGTTTGCTTTCCAGCACCCACATGGTGGCTGAAAACCATCCTAATTCCAGTTCCAGGGGATCGGACACCCTCTTCTGACCTCTGAGATCACTGCATGACACAGGTGCACTTACACACATACAGGTAATACACTCATACACATAAAATAAAAACAATTAAGTAAAATATTTTTTTTAAAAAGAAAAGAAAGAAGAGAGCCTGCCTCAAACACAAGGTAGGGGACTGGAGAGATGGCTCAGTAGTTAAAGAGCACTGGCTGTTCTTGCAGAGGTCCAGGGTTCACAACCCTGGTGGCTAACAACTGGTCTATAACTCTAGTTCCAGGGGGTCCAATGCCATCTTCTGGTCTCCAATAGCACTGCACAGCAAAGGTGCACTTACATACAAGCAGGCAAAACACTCATACACATTAAATAAAAATTAAAAAACAAAACCAATTGTCCCGTGATACACGCCTTTGATCCCAGTACTCAGGAGGCAGAGGCAGGTGGATCTCTGTGAGTTCAAGGCCTGCTTGGTCTACAAAGCAAGTTCCAGGCCAGCTGGGGCTACAGGGAGACCCTGACTCAAACAAAATAAAACAAACAAAAAACAAGGTGGGGGCTGGGTAGATAGTTCAGTTGTCAAGTCTGATGACCTACAGGGTGGGAGAAGGGAACCAACTCCTGTAAGTTGTCCTTGATTCCCCACATATGTGCTAAGGCATGTGCATGTGCAACCCACACACAAAGTAAAACCCAAGGTGGAAGGAGAGAACTAACTGCTGAAAGTTGTTCTCTGATCTCCACATGTGCACTGGGACATTTGCATGCCATTGTTCACACTCACACTCACATATCACACATGCGCTAATAATACTAATAAATATAGATGATATCAATTTGCTACTCAGTTTATGGTCCATAAAGCAAAGCATTATTAGCAAAATGTTGAGCTCATTTCAGACCTACAAAATCCAACTTTTCATTTTCAAAAGCTCCCTGAGTGATTCAGTGCGTGCCCATTAAATGAGAAACACAGGTCTACTTCACACACACACACACACACACACACACACACACACACACACAAATCTTAGAAGTATTGATTGAGATAAGGTGCATATCTCTTGCCTTAATCCCAGAATTCAGGAGGCAGAGGCAGGTGGATCTCTGTGAGTTCAAGGCCAGCATGGTCTACGTAGGGTGTTCCAGGCCAGCCTACATAGTGAGATGCTGTCTCAAAAAAAAAAAGATAATATGTAAATGTTAACAAAAGATAGTTTTTCCAGGGTTGGGGAGATGGCTCAGTGGTTAAGAGCACTGACTACTCTTGCAGAAGACTTGTGTTCAAATCCCAGCACACACACACACACACAGACACACACAGACACACACACAGACACACACACACACACACACACACACACACACACACACGGCAGAGAACTCTAGTTCCAGGGAATCTAACACCCTCTTCTGTCCTCCAAGGGTACTGCATGACATACATGCACTTACACACATGCAGGCATAACACTCATACACATAAAAATAAACCAGCCAGGCATGGTGGCACACACTTTTAATCCCAGTCCTTGGGAGGCAGAGGCAGGTGGATCTCTGTGTTCAAGGCCAGCCTGGTCTACATAGTAAGTTCCAGGCAGCTGGGACAATAGGGAGACCCTGTCTCAAAAAGACCAAAAAGAAAAATAAATAAATAAAAGACCAAGCCAGTTAGTCAGGCGTGGTGGTGCATGCCTTTACTCTCAGCACTTGGGAGGCAGAGGCAGGTAGATCTCTGTGAGTTCAAGGCCAGCCTGATCTACACAGCAAGTTCCAGGGCAGCTGGGGCTACAGGGAGACCCTGTCTCAGAAAGGACAAAAAAAAAAAAAAAAAAAAAAGACAAAGCCAGCTGTGGTGGCATATTTTTGAGGTCCCAGTACTTGGGAGGCTGAGGGAGGAAGATTGGAGTTTGAGGCCAACCTAGGATACAAAGAAACTCAGTCTCAATTGAGTTCTTGGGGGCTAAGTGGGAGCAGTCTTTCTGAGACAGGTCTCTTTGTTCACTGTCGAATGTTCCAGACTAGCTGGCCTGTAAGCTTCTGAGGATTCCTCTGTTTGTATCTTCCATTCTGTTGTATGAACACTGGGATTATGGTTTGCTACCATGTCCAGCTTTACATGAATTCTGGGGACTCTAAATAAGGCCCTCTAAACAAGCGCTTTACCTGTTGAGCCATCTCCCTAGTCCAAGGTTGATATTTTGTTTTTTCAGTACTGGGGGTTGAACCCAGGGCAAGTGCTCTATCATGGAGCTGCATCCCCAACTGAGCAATTCTTACATATAGAGAGCCTGAACTGTGGTCATCTTTCTGCCTAACCAAACATTATGAACATACTTCAGAACTTTCAGTAGTCCTAAAGAAAAAAAATCAGGAAGCTAGACGGTAGGATGGGTGAAAGAAAACTGTGTGTTTGCCCTCAATTCTAGTTTCACATCTACCACTTGTGAATCATATAAACTTAAAACACTTCATTTCCTGGGTTTCATAGTTTTAACATCTCAAAGAAGGGATTATATGAGATGATTTCTAAGATTTTTGGGTGGGGTGGTGGTGGTCAGGGTTGGGGTCCAAACTCAGGGCCAGGAACATGCTAGGCAGATTCCTTGCCTTCTAAGATATTTCTAAAATTTAAAGCAATATATAGATTCAATGCAATCCCAATAAAAATCCCTGTGACATACTTCCCAGAATTAAAAAAAAAAAATTCTTAAATTCATATGGAAACACAAAAGACCCTGGATAGTCAAAGCAACCCTGAGCACAAACAGCAATGCTGGGGATTATTAGAGCAGATCTCAAAGTATAATATAGAGCTATAGTCATAAAAACAGCATGGTACTGGCACAAAAATAGACACATAGATCAATGGAACATAACTGAAGACCCAAACATGAGTACACCTAATTTCAGCCTCCTGGTATTGACAAGGAGCCAAGAACACACAATGGAGAAAGGCAGCATCTTTAACAAATGGTATGGGCAAAATTGGATCTCCACCTGTAGAAGAATGAAACTGTAACCTTATCTTTTACCCTGCACAAAAGTCAACTCCAAATGGATCCTGCCCTGCACACAAAAACATAGAAATATACCTAGGAGGTATGAGATGGAGGAGGCTTGACCTACTTTCTTGACCTGCATTTGAA